GAACGATTCAATAATTAAATTTGAACCCGACGATTCCAATTACCAAGTACCCAAAAATTTCGGGTCCGATTCGACTCTTAAGGGAACGGAACCGAACTATGTCCAACCCTAACTAAAATTATTATTATTATTTTAATGCTAGTGGCGTGATGTGTAGAAAAATATTTATTTGACATAATTATTTTTTTAATGCTAGTGAGATGATATGTGGAAAAATATTTGTTTGACATAAATAAAATGAAAAATAAAAAATAACATCATACATATTAAAATTGAATTCATTTACTATTGCATGAATAGTAGACTATCCTTCCCCTTTTTATTAGAAGTTAGATAAATCCCCCCGCCTTTGATTATTTTATTATGAGCAGGTCCCCATCTGACACCCCATATATACAAATAGTAGAACCGTTGTTATTAGGAAAAACATAAAATTCACATCCGTCACAAAATCCAAAATAAAGATCCTACAAAAAATCGAATTGTCAGAGGTCACAAACTGAATATAGACTATGAATGAAATAAGAAAAAATACGGCTGTCACAAATAATCGATGAATAAAAAGGGGTCACAAACATAATAAATTCTACACAACAAACACAAGAAATAATCAAAGTAAGTTTGCCGATCAAACATAATACATATATTGGTCCCAATGAGCAAAACTCGTGCCATGCCCATGACGTATAACCTATTTCTGGTCCAATTTTTCATCGTTTAGGGCTTCGAGAACTCCTTTTTCTTTAGTCTATCTCCTATAAGACAATATTACAGAAATTTCTTGTTATCATGCAATTTACACAATTTATAAAACAGATTATACAATTCAAGTAATTCAGAATTATATAATTTAGAATTATATAACAGTATAATGATCAACTCATACATTTATTTTAAAAACTGAATTGTCCATTTGACAGGTTTAAGGGGTGATGACCCGTGAATCCACTACTTCATTAGATTCCCCAATCCTTTCAGGAGATCTTGAACAAAGGAGAGCAATGATGGATCAATTACCTTAATAACCAAATCAAATTTAGACAAGAACAATTTAATTTGTGTGACTAAAAGTAAAGAGTATGAAAAATTACACTAGAGCTGAAAACTTTGAAGTTTCAGTAAAGGAATGCAGGGAAAGAATATTAGAACAAGTTCAGAAATCTAGAATTACCATAGGTACTCCATGAGTCACACTGACTCAGTACAACTAAGAAATGAGTCAAGAAAAACAGCTAAACTCGAAGTGAGGAAACCCAACTCACTAGCACTTAGGACGAGTTTTAAGATACTGTACCAACTCAGTGGTAAATCAAGAGTCAAATTGCTAAACAACTCAGTAAACACCGAAATCCTCTAGATAAGAGGTAAATCAAACTTTCAGAAACATTCAAGCACGAAAGAAGATTCAATACCAGTTCCTTAAAAAAAATTTAAAAGCACCAAATCTTTGAGGGATCCAACTAAAATTTGGATCGAAGAAAAATTTAACAATGAAAAACCCTTTGAAGATGATTTATTCCAGAAATCCATCGAAATGTTAAAAAAATTCCCAAATCTGCGAAAACATAAACTAGGGTTTCAAGAAAATCAAACCCTAACGCCTGAAGGACGAAATTTCAGGATCTGATACCACTTAATGGTCTCGGAATCGTATTGACAAAGAATTTACAATGATAGTTTGTAAACAATATAGTTTTGCAGAAAAATAAAAGGAACACGAGAATTTTTCATTTTTCGCCACAAAGCCCAGATGTTCAGCTTTTAATGTACTCACTCGTTGAAAATCTACAAGTAGATTACGCTCAATTCCACCATAAAATCACAAAGAAATAGTACAAATGTATAAAGAAATCAGAGATTTCTTCAGATTTCTCTCGCTTCTCTTTCAAGACGAAGAACAAGCAATCTATACAAATTTGTCTCGACTAAATGTTTACCAATAACAATCAGTTCCAAAAACTCAACAAATTTATAGAGAAAACACCAAGATTATAGAAGGAGATCCAGACGAGAAAACCCTAAGAACTTCACTCAGAAATCTTTCAAATTGTATTAAAGAGAAAGAGGCGAAATATATATATATATATACACACACACACACACTCAGATGCAAACAACAGATTGGACGGTCATAATTCCAGCGGATGAAGGGTCCAGATCATAGGTATCCAAAACAAAACACAAATGACCCAAGTAAAAATCAGTCCAGCAACAAAAGATTAGAGCCCAATGAATAATGAAGCACCAAGCCCAAATCCAACAATAATGATGAAATGTTTTCGAAAAGAAAAATGAACTGTTCATTCTACTCTCTAGCATATTCATTTAGTTGCGCTATCGAATACTGCTTTTGATTAGATATTGATTCTTGATCACATAGGGTGATTAGAATTTTGGGTGATTAGAATTTTTTAAAGATGACCCATACGTAGATTCGATAGTCTTCTAGAGAATTCGATAAGGAAAACGAATTAAAATTTTTCATTCTATATAGTTACGTCGATATTGCATACCAAATGTTTCATGTAACAATATATTGTGAATTCGTGTAGAATAAAACATAAAGGCTTAGGGTCTAATTTATAATTTATTAGGAATTTAAGGACCCTTGAAGAGAGAATGGTTTGTAGGCATTTGTTTAGGCAAATGTAAGTACATGAATTGGGGTCATGTACATTTATGCGAAAAGATTATGCAATTTCCAAATTAATAGTGGAATAAATATTTAATCCATATCTATATTGAGTAAATTAAACAAATTCTGATTCTTTCAATATGCTACTTAAGGAGCTGGCTAAACTTAAAAAAGTTAACTTAAGTAAATAAGTTCTAGGATTAATAAATTTTTGTGTATTAATCTAAATTGAGAATAAGTTACTTCTTTTGACATTAATTATATTGTTACAATCAAAATTAAGTAATTGTTTCAAGTTAAAAGTTAAAAATGGCAACATATCTAAATATGTTTAAAAGTGAAAAGTACTTAAAATGCAACTTTACTTATATTTAAGCTTGAGTTAACATGCCCGTTTTTATATAATCAAACATAAGTTTTATTACCTCAAATCACCATGAACTTCATGGGAAATAAAGAAATGAATACGATAAACCCAGTTCAGGTTAACCAGGGCAAACACAATGAAAGAAGCAAGCTTCTGGACCACTTTATTCTCGGAGGGACACAACCCGACAAATACCACAATTTACATATATTAAGCCCTTGTTTGAGCCCTATTTTTTGGGGAAAAAATGAATTTTTGAATAGTGTATTGATGAGAAATGTGTGGTTAAAAAATAAGAAAAGATTTTGAATTTGCGTGTAATATTATTTTATTGAAGAATGTGTAGTTAAAATAATGTCAATGCACTGTAGAAAAATATATTTTTTTCCAAAGAATGGGACTAAAACAAGGGCTAATACTGCTAAAATTCTTGATAAGGAGAAGATTTTCGTACAATCCAAGTGCCTTTGCGTCATGTATTGAATTTGATTAATATCTCTGTATAGTGGGCCAAATTGAAGTTGAATTATTTTTGCTTTCTAGTCATTGAACACTACAACATAGAATCTCAATCTATCCGAATAATTGTCCTGGTTTTGATATTGGCCTACAAAACTTCTGCCATAATAACGAAAAATGTATCAAACCATTTGAATATCATCAAGATCTACTTCCAAAACTGCTACAGTCAATTTAAGTAAAGAATTTCGAGAATCCTTGAAATTGAACTAACCATTCTGTCTTCTTTTGCGACCATATATGCACTAACTCCTCATTCGTGTAGGAGTTAGTGGAGTTTGATCTTTTTTGGCGAATCCAAAAAAACTGGTGGACTATGGCCATAGTAATGATTAATAACGTTATTCTTCAAATTAATTTGTTATAGTTCTTGATTAATCACAACCGACGATATTTTTGCTAATTGAAGCCTTTGATTAAACAAGGACTTAATCTTTAATTTGAGAGCAATATACTAACATGATATAGAAAACATACCAAGTTCGACGTACATAGTGGCCATCCTCAATATACGCAAGCGAGAGGTATGCACGAATGTGTGACTGGTTTTTATTAGAATAGAGAAGAAATATTAGATTTTTTTTCCTCACTTATAGTCCTTTAAAAATTTAGAGTGAGCTAGTAAGTGTATTATTATCCAAGAGATAAATGTAAAGTGCAATTAGGCTCGACACAGTCCAACACCATTTATTAACTAAAGATTGTTATTTTATGATTTATGCTTATGTAATTGAGAAATAATTACTAAGCACCGATCGATACTTATCTTATTTTAAGTACCGATAACATGACATATCAACAATTGGAGAACAAGTTAATTGTAGATCCAAGAAATTAAATAATCCACCATTTAATTAATGTGTCATGTTATCGATACTTAGTATAAATTAAGTATCAATGCTTAGCATATCATATTTCATATATAATCAAACTAAAATGATTTAAGGCCCTATCCATATAAAAATCCCTACACAAGCCAATGTTGGCAATTTTATGCTTTCAAAAAGTCGATCACAATCACGAAAAGCCTGGTTGGTGCTTTCAAGTTGCATCTCCCTACTTAAAATTTTTTATGCAAGTTCGAACTTGTCAGGATTTACGATGAGTTTTGATGAGTAGACCATGATTAATTATAATTAATAATTTTCTAAAGATATGCAAATTTTTTTTTAACAAGATATGAATATTTTGCTGTATATACATTTCCCAAAATATGGGAACCTATTTATTTATTATTTTTTTATTTTTTGAGAATGAGATTTTTGGGTTTGGTTTTATGTAATTATGCTAATTTTCGCATGAGAGATGAACTACATATATGCTTTAGAAATTATCTTAAATTCTAAGAAAAATAAAAATGTTTACAAGTCACAAGAGACAAAATTGTGCATTGATACTATCCAGAAATTGCTTTCTACTCTTGATATAAAATCATAAATAAGAAAATGGGATTTCTTTTTCTGGGTCACCACCTTGCAATTTGCATAAATATGCATGCGTTCTTATATATAGAGGGAAAGAGAGTGAAATACCAATCATTGAATAACTTGATTACTAGATTAATACTACATTACACTTAGTGAAAATATATAAAATGTCACAACAGAAATTAAATTTGACAAATAAGGACTTAATTATTCATAATTAGCATGACGATGATGAGATCAGACCACAATTTTCTAGCTCTTTGTGGTGGCTTTATCATTTTCCTCCGTATTCGAGAGAATATTGTTGTTGAGCTGAGGAACCTTAGCTATTATTTCTGAGCACATCATTGCACTAAGCTTCACAACATCAATAATCTGATCATTTGGTTCAGGATGCTTGAGATCTCCCAATGCAATGATTTCGTTTTTCACTTCAGGAAGCTTTTCCTCAACGACTTTTTTCTTTGCATTTTTGTATATTACATACAGCACCATTTGAACTATACCGAAGCTGAACCCCAGTATATTTGGAATCTATTCACACAGACAAAAAAATTATCATATTAAAAGTCAATTTGAATTGTACTTTTTTCATGTATAGCATAATGTATAGACTCTTTCATTGCTTAAGTTTAAGACAAGGTGTTCCAAAGTATATATACTTACAGCAATGTTATAATCCTTGCTTAGTAAGCCATAGAAGAACCACATAATAGCACTTAAAGTGAGGAAGAATGATAGAAGAACTGGCATGTATTCGACACTTTTGGTTCGAATAACTTTTCTCTGCACATCACCAATCCAAATTTTGATGTTGATATAATACAGTTAATCAAATAACATAAAATAAAAAATAAATATGTATAACCAAGTGCTTAGTTAATTACCAAAATGCCCAAAGGTGCAACAAATACTAATAGAGAAAAGACGAGGCAAATCCATCCAACAATTTGGGCACGCTGTGTGCCTTTTGTCAGAAAATGAGTTAACAGAACAATCAGTCCAAAGCCAATGACATTTAGCAGAAGGACCAACTTCACAGTTTGCATCTGTTATAAATAAGATATAAACTAGTTATCTCAGTTACGAGAAAAATAATTAATTATGTAAAAATTTACTAATGACTTATTTTAATTAGTACCCGATCATTTCTCGCCGCGTAAAAGAGGTAGAAACAAATATATATGGCTTGAATGAAACAACCAACTGAATTTATTATAATAAGAAGAGTTGTATTTGGCTTGAGAAATGCGTAGTATATCCAAAGAACTGAACTGAACAAGCCAACCACATAAGGAACGGATTGAAACCCTTCAGTTGATTTTTTCTGGTAAATTCGATAAAATGTTGGCCTGCCAAAAAAATAAAAATCATAAATAAGTAATTAATTGCCGCCATATAACTTAAGAAATAACGAAACCTAGAAAGACATTGGACTCACACTGGTGAGAGGTAAACCATGAATGAAACAATACTTCCTGAAAAAAGTGTTCAAATATATACGTATATTAGTTATAGTAAGTTTCATAAGGGCAATTGCACAGTACTATACAAAGATATTTTCCAAGTATACTTTTCGGTCATGATATAAAATATTGCATTCGGAAACATTCCCTTAGCGGTGATGCTTCCGCATTGCATGGCATTACGTAAGTATTATAGTGTGAAACCATGCATTTAAGACTTTTGAAAAGAGTTCCGACAGCTAAAAACTCAACAGTTTAGGAGACGAATTAAAATATAATATAACACTGAATTCTATACCTAAGATGCCAAACGCAAAAGCTAAGTGACTCATTTTTGCACTCGATCGAATGGCAGGAAACTGATTCTTCTCTCTGTTATACAAACTACAAGAAGGATTAGTTGTAAGAATACTTAGAAGCACATGATTCAATGCTTGTTTAATCCGTTTATATAGAGGAGGTGGGATAATGAACTAAGCCAACTTGGGGGTGGCGTGGGGTGTGGGTGTAGGCTGAAATCCTCTTGTTTATTCTTTACAGTTGTTCATGACTAAAGAGTCATGATTTTATCACAACCTAAATTGCTTTTTCCATCCTTAATGCTCCATTTAACCAAATTTGGACGATTTCTACCCTTCACACAGACTTCTTTTTCAGCTCATTTCAGGGTACAGGCCCAATAAATGGGTCCCACTCAGGCTCTTTCTGATGTGTCACCCACCCATCCAATTGGGTTCAAGGTTTACAACTCATACTTAGAGATTATGGTAGAGTTTGATGCTTCTTTGTTTTAGCTCTAGATGTATTCCTATTCTAAATCAAGTACAAGGCAATTGGAACCAATAATTTCTTGCCATGTCATCACAAATAATACATATGGCAACTTCCGTTGGAATTTAAGGGTGTATAAAAATATCAAAATGTGTGCATTCGAAAAAAATCTCCCATATGTGTAACGATTGAGTGGGACTCTTCAAGTGCAAAACGTGTATAACTAAAAGTCATGACAGTTTATTAAGGTGCAATCTAGATCATCAATTATCAAATGGTGCGATCTAATGGTTAAAATTAATTTTGTCAAAAGATACAACCATTAGAAATTGACAAATGAAAATCTATAAACGGGACCCTCCTAATTTCATTTTTCTTCACTGCAAATCAATTACATATTGTTGGGTTTTTTGATACCCAATAATCCGGGCGATGATTTAAAACAGTTGTCGGATTATTTATCGACACCATGGACTTGGCTCGACTCGGAGATGAACTACACTTTTGGATGGTTCGGGTTTGGGTTGGATAGTTATTTGGTTAGTAGGACCATTTAATGATTAATATGGAGTTGAATATTGACCCATTAGTTTAGATTAATTGGTAGCCCTCTTAGTGAACCCTAGGCCTAATTGGAGTGACCTAAACTAACCTATATATATGTATTTATCTCCTAGTCGTTTTTGGTGGTGTGTATGTTGTAGCAATGGAGAGGAGAGTTGAGAGAAGAGAGGCAACCGAGAGAGAGGGAAGCTATGTGAGGTTGTGAGTAAGATTCAACCACTGTTCTTCTTCATTTCCATACCTTTGTGGATTTCTAACACCACCACCCTTCTCCTTTGTGGGGTTAGAGAGAAAGAGAGTAGTCCAAAGTGAAGGTGAAAGTCTCAGGTCGAGCCGAGGTAAACTGGTGTTCGTTTGGTTGTTTTATGAGCCTGGAATCAAGATCTATAGAGGGATTTCTGCTACAAATGGTATTAGAGCTTGTGTTATTGATAAATCTATGATTTTTGGGGCTAAACGGGCTGGAAGTGGTCAGAAACGGATCTGAAAATCAAAGGCAGAAACTGTTCGATTTTTTCAATTTTCTGTTGGATCTGTTTTGGC